GTCTGTCATTCTCGATGGGGCGCGTCGCTGTCCAGCCCGGGTGGACCTGGCATTATCTTGACCCACGCTCTCGGCCCTGTCGAGGCCAGCCGTCAGCCCCCACCTTAACCGGCGCAGTAGAGATGACGGTATTGGCTACGAGTCGACTCTAGTATCGCCAAGGCGATATTGGCCAAAAGGGGGAGGCAGGACCTGGCACTTGGGAGAGATTGGCCTGGAGCTGCCGATTGATGACCGAGGCGGTTCTTTTGTGCGAGACCAGATGGACGGCACGACGACGCAGCCGTTACCCTGGACAAAAAAAGCAGAAAGCCAAAAAAAAANAAAAAAAAAAAAAAAACTACCCCATCCCAGCTTTGGGTCACAACTGCTTCCAAACAACCCTCGTTTCATGCGCTAAGGAGAGGGGTTAGATGATGAGTTCAGGGCGGCGGATGTAACCACCAACCCTCATCCGCCCTCCTCGGGTGTCCTCCCACTACCTACCTACCAACATATGCAGAGAAGTACGTGACTTGAGGAAACCATGAGATTCGAGACATGAATAAGGGAGGGCTGCGTGTTTCTCGACGCTTGTTTGCTCCTCCCCCAATGCTTGATGCTCGCACACGGCTTCTCCCGCCACCCCGCCCCGGCGAGCAGGGAAATCCTCCCCGGGCTAAGACGCAAAGGCCATCGGGAGTGTCACCAAACGGCTGGGTCATGTTCAACATGTGCAACTCGCAAGTCTTCACAATGGATTCAACGCTCGCTCCCATGTTTGCATGGCCGAATGACTGGATTTAACGCCCACTACCCGATACAATCTAGCAATTGCTCGAGGAGCAGCCGGGCACGAACGGCAACGCAGATGCTCGTCTGCCCGCCCGTGTCACATGTTCCCCCTTTTCCTCCCATGAGTCCTTTCCAGTTCCCCCTCTCGAGCATATCCTTTCTCCCGTCATCCAACCAGGACCATCTAAAGCCCTCTTCCCATGCGAGGCAGGCCCTCCCAATGTTGTTGCCCCGCTCTGCTTCTTGTCATGCTAAATTCATTCTTCTTTCCTTCCTCTTCCTTTGTGACACCTCCTCGGAACCTCCCAATCCCCCGTCGCACGACGGCGCGCGCTCGCAAAGGAAAAAAACACAAGACGCCATGCTGTCTCGGTTCCTCGGGGAGTACCTAGTGGAATTGAAGCGCCGAAAGGAAAACCCTGAAAGAGGAGTTAGGTAATACACTATGTAAGAAATAGAGGCAGCAGCAACGACCGTAAAAAGGAGGCCGGCTAGTGCGTCATGTGGTAAATAATTCTTGTGGTGTCAATCCAAAACAAGAACGAAAAAGAAAAAAAGAAAAAAAGAAAAAAGAATCCAGACTAGAAATTACCGCCCAAACACCATGTATAATGCTGCAACTCGCGGGCTCCCAAGTGGCGTAAATGCGTAGGACAGAATAGACTATTAGGGGATCTTGTACAGTGGCGGCGGACGGGTCGTGAACCACGAGGGGGTATCGGGGCGTTTGTTCGTACGCGCGGGGAAATGTAGAGCTTGTCGTTCCGAGGAGCGGGAGGGTTTGCGTTGGTCTCATGTTTGCTTTATGCCGCCCCATCTTCGTTCGGTCTGGTATCCAGATTGGGCAACAGATGCCAAGTTTCCGCCTTGGCCGATGGCAGAAAAAGAAGAAAAAAAAGCCGTGGCACTCGTGTGGCCGGCTTGTTTCATTTCGACTTATGCCATAGCACTCGAGCTCAAGGCCTTGAACCGGCCCTCAAAAGCCTTGGCCTGCTCCGCCTCGAGCAGCCTCTGCAGCCTGCGCGTCTCGCGGACTGCCTGCTCGCGCTCCTCCTGGAGCCCCAGCACCTCGATCTGGGCCGCGTTCATGCGGCCAACCACCTCCTGCATCTCCGAGTCGGCCGACGAGAGCGCGCCCTCGAGCTGGGCGACGCGGGCCCGGAGCTTCTCCATCTGCGCCGCCTGGTCCTCGTCGCGCTCGCGCGCCACCACCGGCGGGGACAGGGGGCTGCTGCGGCCGCCCGACGGCGACCCCGTCCTCGACGTGGGGCGCGACGAGCCCGAGCCCAAGCCCAGCCTGGGCGAGCGCAGGCCGTTGGAGAACATGGGCGACAGGGGCGAGCGCGGCGGGAAGAGGCGCTGCGACGGCGAGCGCAGGCCGCCCGCGGCGTCGCGGAGGCGCTGGATCTGCCCGTTGTTGGCCTCGCGCAGCTGCCGCAGCTCCTCGTCCTGCCGCGCGATGCGGTCCTCGGCCGCCTGCTGCGCCGCCACCAGGTCGTCCTCGAGCTGCCGCAGCCGCTGCTGCAGCGACGAGATGCGCTCCTTGCTCGACCGCTGGTTCGACTCGCCGCGCGTCACCGCCTCGGCGAGCCGCGTCCGCAGCGACGCGTTGGTGGCCAGCTGCGCCTGGACCTGCGCCGCCAGCTCCTCGACGCGTCGTGCCGATGACTGGAGCTGATCCGCCAGGTCGCGCTCGGCCTCCATGTTGGTCTGTGCCGACTGCTCAAGGCTTTCAACCCGCTCGCGTAGCTGCTGCACCTCGGCGTCGTCGTCCCGGCTTCGCGCCTCCATCCTGGCCGTCACCGAGCGCTCGAGCCGTTGCATGGCCTCCTTGGTCTTGTCGTCGGCGGTGCCCAGCTCCAGCTTCTTGATGCGTTCCAAAGCCTCGGCGTATGCGGCCTGGAGGTCTTGGTACGCCTTTTCCAAAGTGGCGGAGCTGACGGGCGTCGACAGGGTCGCGTCGTTCTCCTTGCCGAGTGTGCTCGATTGCCTGGCGAAAGCGGCTGGGATGAGGATGTCCTTCTCCCGAAGGAGACTCCTGAGGCCTGCGATCTCCTCCTCGGCGCGGTCCAGATCCATCTTCAGGCCACCCAGGCCCTTCTCGACCTGCCACTTCTGCTCCATGGCCTCTTCGGCTCGCTTTCGCAGGTGGGCAATCTCTTCGCGGAGGTTCGACACATCGCGCTCGTATCCGGCCTTCTGGGGCGACGCGGCCAGCAGCCGAGTGCGCTCCTGCTCGAGAATCCGAATTTTCTTCTCGTTCTCGCGGTTCTGGAACTCTTGTCGCTCGAGCAGGTTCTTGAGGGCGTTGTGGAGGGCGTCGCGCTGCGCCTCTACGTCCTTGAGCCTCTCGGATATGGCCTCGCGCGACTCCGTCTGGTGCGGACCAGCAGGGATGCTCTTGACCGTGTTGGACCGACTCAGCGGTGACCCCTCGGTTTTGGTGCTCTTGACCGTGTTGGACCTACTGAGCGGGGACCCCTCGGCTTTGCGTGCGCCGCCGACCGTGCCCTTGACCGTGTTTGATCGGCCGAGCGGCGCCTGCTGCAGCTTGAAAGCCGACTGGGCCGTGCTGACCGACGTCGAGCGGGCTGGCCGGGTCGCCGGCATCGACATGTCCTCAGCTTCCGGTACAGGCCTGCTCGTCTTGAGCGTTGCATTCTCCAGCTGGAGGTTGCGGAGCTCCTGCTGGATCTTGGTGCTCTCGTACACTAGGTTGGAGTGCTCCGACGCCTGCTGCTCTAGGCCCTCGACGCGGGCCCTGAGCTGCGGTACAACCTCGTCGCGCAGGTTGTCGCGCTCGTTGGCAGCACTCTCCAGCTCGCCCTTGAGCGCCGTGAGGAGGTCCTCAAAGTTGCTCTTAACCTGGCGCTCCTCCGTCAGCCGCCTGCGGAGGTCCTCGCACGATCCCTCGAGCTCCTTTACCCTCTCGGCGGCGCTGGCGGCGTCGGCCATGTCGTCGGGGGAGCCCCTTATGGCGGCAAGCTGGCCACCGGCCTGGGCGGCACGCGCCGACAGCTCCTGGATCTGGCGGTCCAGGTCCCTGCGGCGCTCGCGCTCGTCCTGCAGCTTCTGGCTCAGCTCCAGGCGGACCTGGGCCTTCTCCTGCTCGGCGCGGCGCTGGAGCTGCGTGATCTCCTCGCGGTTGGCATCGTGCTCCGACAGCTTCGCGGAGCTGTAGCCCGAGTCGGAAAAGTAATCACTGGTTCTTTTTCCCGGCGTGTCTCCCCGGCCGCCGACCTGCGCCTGCAGCCGGTCGACGAGGTCCTCCAGGTCCATCTCGCGCCTGATGGACGCCGCCAGCTCCGCGCTGATGGCTTTCAGCTCGTCCTCCATGTCTTCGATCTTGTCGGCGGTCGGCGCCGGTACTGGGGTGGTCGCGTCGGGCGGGGTCTGCAGGTACGCTTCGCAGTAGTCGAGAGGGCTCTCATCCGCGGCGATGTCATAAGTCGGCTTGGCTGTGGGTGGGCTGGATGTTGCTGCTGTGAGTGGAGCGTCATCGGCGAATTGCGGCGGCCTCGGCGAGTATGGTGAAGGCAAGGGAGAGAGACCGTCCGAGAAGACGGTTGACGAGGGCGACGAGGTGGACCAGCCGAAGAAGGTGCCTAGCTTCGAGGATGCCGGGGACTTTTGTGCTGGGGATCTGATTTGAGGATTAAGATTATTATCTGCAGCATCTGCTTTTGGGGTTGGAGTAGAGTCGCTGGCTGATGCCGCCGGTGCTGGTTTTGGGGTGCTATCGGTAGTCGGTATGAGCTTCAGGTGCGGGGGTGAGGGCTTGCGGGCAAAGAGTGACATGATCTTTGGCCCCACGGTATTAGTATTAGGAGATTGAGTCCCCGGCTGGCTGTTCGTGTCTGACAGCTGATCGGCGCCGCCACCTGTTCCTTCACCCCCTCGAACAACGTGCGGCGTGACGTCCAAGTCAATGTCTGAGTCTTGGCCGCCACCTCGGCGGTTTAAGCTCGGGCCTGAGGCGGCGGGAGGTTTCTGCTGATGTTCGCGGTACGAGAGTGCGGGTAGCGTTTGAGAAGCAGCAGGGTTGAGCTCTGGAATGTTTCGCGGCTGAGCCACGGCGGTACCCTCGGGCCCAGGCTCTGCGGCGTCGGTCTGCGGCGGCAATGGTGGAAGGGCTTTGCTGTTTAGTCTGTCAACAAGATGCCAGTCAGTCAGTCAGGCGCATATACTTTGGGCTTGGGAGGAATGGATCGCGCCCTACGGCGACGGGCAGGTGACAGTTGACAAGGAGAGGCTCGGGCAAACTCACCCTCCCTGGGAGGACGACTCGTAGGTGTCGGCAAACCGGTCTACTATCGGGGTTTCGCCTGCATACCACGAGCTTTCTACGGCGAGCGAGACAAACGTCTCTGGCATCGGCAGCTCGTCCAAGATGTCGAGGTAGTGCTGGGTCGGCGGCGACGGCGGTGACCGCGGCGCCTGCGACGACTGCGAGTATCTCCGTGCCACGGCCGAGGCGCTGGTAGAAAGGGGCTTCCGCTTGATGGAGGAGATGCTCGCGGCCAAGCTGGGGGACCTCGAGCTCCTGGGGCTTGGCAGGACCTGGTGCGCGTTCTGGACTTGGGCGCGGCCGGGTGACGGCGGTGCAGGTGCGGCAGGCCGAGTGTCTGAGGTGTGAGGACCGTGAGCGTCGAACTGGGCCCTCGGTGCCGGAGCGGGAGTGGCCATTGTGGGCAGGCAGGTATTAGTATAGCCGTATTTAATTTTCCGGCCCAGACGCGAGCAGCAGTTGACAGAGCGACCAACAAAGAACAGGTCTTGGTTCACGGCACGCCCACAAGAGGGTCATCAGCAAGCGACGAACGAGGAAGCAGCCGCCCAACATAACTTGCCGCGAACATCACATCCGAGAGGGCACAAAGTGACATTAGCACCCCGAGAATGGGCCTCAGTTCAGGGGTTGCAAGGCACGGCGCTCCATTGGCCACGGACAGGCGCCATCGCGAGCAGCCATTCCGCCGCTTTGGGCAAGGCGCGTCCACAGCACTACCACCCCTGGGCCCTGGCGATTCGTCGAGAGGCGTGCGGGCAGGTCCATCTGGCGAGCCGGGCATGGAACGTGGCGCTCGACAGTGGCGGCAGGGGGCAGCCTGCCATTGCCTGTACACATGTCGTTTCCGGTGGGGTCCCAGCGCCCTCCTTTGTCGCCAGCCAATCACCAGACCTCGCACCAACAAAAGGGGGTCTGGCTGCTGGCACCTGGACAAGGGCGGGCCCAGACGCTTTCCCCCTTTTAGCCGCCATTCAGTCCCTGTGGTTGGCTCGTACCTTACATCAATCTTCTGCATGGGTCAGGGGAGCCAGTGCATGGGCCACCTCTGCCAACATCTGGCACAGTGACAGATTTGAGATGTGCCGGCACGAACGTTTTCTTTTGCTTTTCGGGGTTGGTTCTTGATGAGATGGTGTGCTCTGTGTGCATCGAAGGGGTTGTGTGCTCGCTGTGTTGTCCGGGCTCCATCCCAACATACCTACCCTCGGTTCGAATCTCTATCACAAACTCGCTTCAGGGGAACCGCCACGAGAAATTCAAAAGGTGGCTGTGGTGATGCGACCCCAATTCGCCGTGGCCGTGGGAAATTGACCTGATTTACGGGGCACTAAAAATCAGGCGGTTGGCTGGAGGCAGCTCCACCAGGCCCAGCATCATCCCCCACGCGCGCGGCAAGAGTGGCCGTCGACTGACTGCGGCGCCGAGGACGCATAGGCACTCGAATATTGCGTCTTTATCCAATGCAATGCCAGTGGGCGGCAGCCGTGAAGATTGCAGATTGCACATGCACGCTAGGCGCGAGGGGCGTTGCGCGCTACTCGAAAGACTTGGCTGGCGTTTGCATGCAGCTCCCGCACGGCAGCGTCATTCGATGGCTCCAACTTTGGCTCCAGCTTTGGATGCTGCGCGTAGACGCGGGGCTGGAGCTGACCCTGAGGTCTCCAGCTGCACCCACTTTCACCTTTCATCTTCCACCTTCCCGCACTTTGAATTGACTCTGGATCGGGCTCAACGGTGGTGCAGCCATCCGTGGGCGCACCGACCCATGTTCCTTTTCGAGGGGGGATGCAGAATGCAGGGATGTGGCACTACGAGGATGGGGCCGCTCCCACCGAGCACCAAGGACCCCAGCACAGAAACATTGGGTCTGTGCTCTCTCTTTATGAAGACTTGACTGTGCACCTATGGTACACCTCTAGTGGCCTGGACAATATTGGCTTTGAACAGCCCATTTGGTATCGAAACCCAGCCTCCCTTTCCGCCAGATGACCTTCCTGTTCTGACTGGCGCGTCAAACTCGGGTTCCATGACTCACGTGCCCTTGGAAGCCTTTCAGGGCCTGACTACACCATTTCCACGGACCATGACGCGTTGTAACACGTACCCCCCATCATTCCTCAAAGACCAGTCGCATTCTTTACCAAACCTGCATCCATCACGGTAAATTGGAAAACATGGTCATACTGAATTATCTCTTTTTTCGAAAATTATAATTGCCAACACTAGTGTCTGCTATGTCTTCCTCGTGCTTTTTGTGTCCTAGGGGGGATGCCTGGCCAGTATCCAGACCATCGACTGCGTCTTGCACAGCATCCGGGGGGAGCAGCCAATAATTCAAGTGATGTGGTCAACCAGCGACGGGTGACTCCTTTGGATATGTTGTGGCCAATTTCAACGGTGGTGACAGTGGCCGGAGGGATACCTGTACGAGGAAAAGCAACCTCGCCGTTGGGCAGGTATACTGGGGTTTGCGGATAGCGTGGCCGAACGAGGAGCTTGTAGACGGCGCGGTAAATATACCGCGATACCTGCACCTTTTTGGATGGACGGCCGCGAGCAGAAATGGGTGAAGGGCATGCAACAACCGCGTTTGACCGCGCAGCTCTTCGGACTCAACCCAGCGCTTAAGATCAAGCATATTTTCGGACTGCAGGTTGGTTCCGGACTGCCACAGCAGGACTGGGGGTAGAGTATCCGGATCATCGGGGTCTTGAACGGGCGGTGGGTCGAAAGGACAGTATCCATCCTGAGCAGCGAGTTCGACCAGCTGCTTGTCGTTCGTCTTGGTGGTAAAAGTCAGCGCGAAGTGGCTGGCGAACAGCTAGCCGATACCACGGGCGTCTGCGATGCCATTTACAAAAGGCGCTGCGCTGAACCGAAAAGGGCGTCGCCGGGGACGACTTCATCTTGGCAACAACCTGGTGGAAAGTTGAGCCGGGGTTGCGCAAAACCTGGATTTCATCGCAGATCTTGACGTCCCACTGGACGTCGCAGGCCACGTCCCAAACATGCGTGTGATAGCATACATTCAGGGAGGGCCGGAGCGGGGGTTGGATTTTTATCGGACGTCCGGGCCTAGGCAGTAAGCCATTTGTTTTCTCAACCACATCGCGAGGCTGGCACAGTACCAACAGGCTGATGGGGAAGGAAAAACTTGTTGCTAGGGCCGCCGGTGTCCCAGTTGCACCATGCGTATGCTGCCTTGAACTTGTCGTAGTTGAAGACGGCGCCATCCGGTTCGTGAGGTTCCATGCCGTCCATGTCGAAGTCCTTGTCGAGGCGGCCGAGGATTTCCAGCGTCGACTTCAACAGCTGGGGATCTGTAAAAAAAAAAACGTCTTCAATGGGTGCGTCTTTTTCAGCATGCCGAGGATAGCGTGTGCCTTTCGAGTTTTCTGAGTGATTCGCTCCCGTGCCTCCTCGGGCGAATCACCAGCCTGGACGGCCTTATCGACTTGCATGTCGATATGCGCCATCTGGGTCGACATGAAGGTGTCGATGTCTTCCTTGTTGCCGAAGAGCTTGGGGAAACTCTCGATGATGTCGTCAGGGACCCGGTGCTCAACGGGCTCCTCGAAACGTCCATCGGTATACATCTTCCGGCACATAGCGGCCAGTGTGAGGGAATCCAGGGGGGCGATTTTTTCGGCTGCCGCCACCCCAGTGGCACGCTGCCGCTTGCTGACGGAGTCGCGCTGGAAGTTCTTGAAGGGGTCCAACGCGCTGAGCATGTAGACTCGGTTGTACTCCCGTCGATTGAGGACATCTGCTCCGAACTGCAATAGTATGTCCTGAGTGTGATACCGTTCCAACGGCCGCCAAGGTGGTATAAAAAGACAAAAGTAGGTAAAACAAACGGGGACGGACAATTATTGACACGAGGTTAAAGAAAGAAAAAGAAAAGAAAAAAAAGAGAAAGAAAAGAGAAAAAAATAAGAAAATTTAGGAAATCAAGGCTGGTCATGGCCAAGCCCTCTGATGTCCGCAAAAAAAAACAATTCTCCTCCTCCTCCTCCCCTCTTCCCCCTCTACCCCCGGAAGCGGTCGGGCAACGGCGGCCAACCCGGAGGGCAGACCACCCCACAGACGATCTCCCTCTGGGCGCCCGTCACCCTCGACGCCATCAAATGGCGGGGCTCCGGGTCACCGCGGGGGATGTCGAAGAGGCGGTCCCCCTCGCCCCTGTAGCGGAGCCGCTCCCGCACCGCCCGCTCGCGCAGGTCGGCCAGGAGGCAGCTCCTCTTCCAGCTGGTCAGCGCCCCGTGGTTCGGCGGCTGCACGAACGCGGGGGCGGGGGCGAAGCCGACGACGGCATCGCTGCCGCCGCGGCCGCGGCGGTGCCCCTGCTGCTGCACCTGATGCTGCTGTAAGGGCGAGGGCCCCACCGTTGTTGCGGTTGCCGCCGCAGTCATCGCCGCTTCCTCCTCCTCTTCCTCCCCCTTCCTCCCGCTCCCGGGCGCGAGCAGCGCCGCGCCGACGGGCGTGCGCGCAAAGGCGCGCGCGTACTCGGCCGCCGGCCGCCACTTGCGTTGCCCGTGCGCCTCCTGCGCGTCCAGGGCCAGCCGCAGCGCCCGGACGTCCTCGGCCTCGAGCAGGAAGAGCTTGCGCTCCTCCTCGGTGGCCGCCAGCCCGCCGCCGCCGCCGTGACCCTGACCAGGTTGCTGGTCGCCGCCGCCGCCACCACCCAGCAGCGCCCCGGTCAGGGCCCTGACGTCGGCGTCGGCCTCGACCGACCCCGCGCTGTACGCGTAGTGGTAGGTCTCGGCCACGGCCGCCAGCCACCGCCCGTGGTCCTGGGTCGCGTGGAGCATCTCCTGCCACACGCCGCGCATGGGGTGCTGCTGCTGGTGCTGCTCGTCCTCCTCCTGCCCCGCGCCCCCGTCCCCGCCGCCTCCGCACGGGACCGCGGCCATGTCGCGCGAGAGCCCCGCGAGGGGCATCTCGTGGTCGCGCACGCGCGCGCACACGGCGACCTGCAGCATGTGCCGCAGCTTCATGAGGTCGTGGCCCCAGGCCGGGTGGCACAGGAGCATGACGAGCTCCATGCACGCGTCGTGGCCCGGGGTGGCGCCGCCGCCGCTGCCGCCGGCCGTGCGCAGGCCGTACCGGAACAGGTCGTGTGGGACCCTCCCGAAGAGGTGCACGGCCAGGCGCCACACCCACAGCTCCGCGTCGTCGCCCTCGCCCTCCCTGACCACGCGCGACAGCTCGGCCGCGAACAGGTCCTTGAGCTGGTCCTCCGAGGGGGCGTCCTAGTACCCCTCGGATTGGACCCAGCCCAGGTGTCTGAATTGCGGGTCCGGCAGCAGGTCTTCCATGGCGCGCGGCGCCGGGAACTGTTGGTCTTGCTGTTGCTGTTGCTGTTGCTGCTCCTCGGATCCAAAGGCACCGAGGACAGGGCCGCCTGGCAGGGTGGCGAGGTGGGTGGCCAGGACCCGGTCAAAGTATGACGACGGGCCGCAGGCGGCGTCGATCAGGTCTGAGATGGGCGGCAGTGCAGCGGCGCCGATCAGGTCCGAGATGGGCGGCAGTCTGGTGCCATCGGCCACGGGGGCCATCTCGCGAGCTCTCTCGGTCGCCGCCTTGCTGCACTCGGCCCGGGGGCTTGAGGCCTGGTCGCTGGCGGCGCGCGTCTCCTTCCTCTTCCCGGCCGCCTTGCTCGACATGGCGGCAGGGGGGGCGGCGTCGAGGAGGTCGCCACCGTCGCCCTCCGCCAGGGTTCCGGTGGGCGCCTCAGGATGGGCGATGGGCGGCCTTCCGGCGAGCTTGCCAGTCTCGGCGAGGGCGTTTTGCGCCAGCATCCGGACCGTGTCGGGCCTATTGTCGGACACATCCTCGGGGATGCTGGGGCCCTGCTCGGCGGCTGGCTCGGCGGCCCGCTCCGGCTTGTCCGAGGCATCCTGCGCGCTCTCATTCTGCCGCTCCTCCAGCTCCTTCTTCTGCTGGAGGCGCTTGGCTCTCCTTTCGGCGCGGATCTGGCGCTCGATCTGGAGAGGATCTTGGTCGTTGATGTTGAGGGGCTTTCCAGGCAGTGTGGCGGGCTTGGCACTGGAAGCGGCGGTGCGAGGTTTGGCGGTGCGGCGCCGAGGTCTTTGCTCAGGCTCGTCATCGGCCTTGCTCTCATTTGGTTGGGGCTCTGGCTGGGGTTCTGGCTCGGGCTGTTTTTGTGGCTGTGGCTGTTTTTGTGGCTCTGGCTCTGTCTCATGCAGCGTCTCACGCTGGGTTTCCGGCTCAGGCTCAGGCTCTGTCTCATGCAGCGCCTCTGGTTGGGTTTCTGGCTCAAGCTCTGGCTCGGGCTCATGCAGCGTCTCTGGCTGGGTTTCTGGCTCGGGCTCGGGCTCTGGTTCATGCAGCGGCTGTGGCTGTGGCTCAGGCTCAGGCTCAGGAATTTGCTGGGGTTCTGGCTCTGGCAGCGACTCAGACTGGTTGTTGGGAGCAACATCGCGGGCTCCGGACTCGCTCTTGGCTCGCTTGGCGGCGCGGTCGGAGGGTTCGGCGTCCATGTCAGCGGCGCGGCGACGGCGAGTTCCGGCAACGGCATTCTGAGGGGCCTGGAGGACGGGGGTGTGGTTGGCAGCAGGCTCCTGTTTATCATTCTCGGAAGCCGCGCGCTTGGTTCTTTTGGCGGGACGCTCAGAAGGTCCGGCTTCATCTGTAGCGGCACGACGGCGACGTCTACCAGTGGCGGCTGGCTTGGGATCGTCGGCGGCGGTGGTCTTGGGCTCGACGGCAGCGGGCTGGGGCTCGACAGCAACGGACTGGGGCTCGTCAGCAGCAGCAGACTGGGGCTCGTCGGCAGCAGGAGCAGTGGCGAAAACAGTAGCGGCAGCGAGAGCAGCAGTGGCAGCAGCAGTAGCGGCGACAGCAGGAGTAGTAGCGGCAACAGGAGCAGTTGCGGTGGCGGGAGCAACGCCGTGGTCGTTGGCATCTTGAACTTCGTCGGCGCGATGGCGGGCGCGGCGGAGAGTCTCGAGCTCGAGGCCCTTCTGGGTGAGCTTACGGTTGCGGGCTGGGCGAACCATGGTGACTGGATAGACAGAGATGTCGAGAAAGTGATTTGATAAGGACTGGCTAGAGCGATGTCGAGAGATGTCCGGATGGAGAGAGGTATCGAGAGATTGTCTAGATAGAGACGTATGGGAGGTTGTCTGCGGATGGGGAGAGTATCGAGAGATTTTCTGGATAGAGAAGTACCGAGAGATTTTTCGGATAGAGAAAGGTATCTAGAGGTTTTCTTGATGAGATGAGTTCTTGTGAGGTCGAACGAGAAGTGCGCGAATGCGAGATCAGAAAGTGCGATATGCTCGTTTCTGTTTGTTGAAGGAGGAGAGCAAGCAGGAATTTTTTTCTGGGAGGGGAAAGAGTTGGGTTAAATATTTGCGTGCTCCGAGGAAGGGCATCAAATCTTCTGAGGCCGAGGTGAGGAGAAAGTCAGAGAGTTGCCCCGAATAGCCCAAACAATAGCACCATCCGTGGTAAATCAGAGGGCACATGAGGAGCTGAATAGGCAACAATAGGGTCAATAGAGCCGCCGCATCAACGACAAGACCTCTTGGCCAGGAATTCTGGGGCTTATTCTAGTCGTGATGCTATTGTTCTCCTCCAAAGGCTTTACGACAATAGCTTCCAGCTGCCACTCGCGCTAAGTCGTCGTCACGAGGCGATGTCAATAGAAGCTCAGCCTGGCGAATTATATTGACGTATCCCTACGGTGTGGGTCCTCTGCCTCCCTTGCTCCTTCCTGGCGGGCAGGCGATATCGAGTCTTCCTCGGCGATGAAGTGCACTATATACGGCCTCCGAATTCTGAACTGAGCATTGGTTCTCGATCTCCAAGATTTCTGCGCGCTGTATCAACTCGAAATGGGTAAATGCATTTAATGATTAGGTGCCATATGAGCGGCGAGGCTACTACATACGCGGTCCTTCTCTAACTTCTGGCTCCCCACTAGCTGGAGTGCATGACCTGTGACTTTTAGGATCTAGATAGCCGAATGGTTTTATTGATGTTCGGGTATCTAGAACGCAAGCTTCTGAGGCTCACCAAACAAGCATATTTCGATCTGCTCCGGCATCTCAGCTAGCTCTGGTATTTTTGAGTGAGCGTGATGTATGTCATCTAGCTGAACAGTTCTGTATTCTAAATTAAAGATGACGACTGGGCGGTAGAGAGGTTATGTGTTACAATATCTATTTACTGAGGACACAGCGAGCATCAGTTCCTTCTCTAGATCTTGGCGCCCTTTTGCCAGCCGGCGCGGTGATACTGCTTGGGCCATTGAACCGCGACGCCCAGCTGGTGTGCCGTGCGGAGCACGAACTCGGGCTCGCGCAGGAACTGCCGCGCCACCAGCACGAGATCGGCCCGCGTCTTGCCGCCGTGGGTCTCGTCCTCGACCTCGACCGTGCCTTGGCCACCATCCTCCTGCACCACCGCCCTGGCGAGCTCCGCCGTCGTGATGTTACCGACGGCGCCGATGAGCAGCTTCTTGCCCGCGGCCGTCACCTCGGCCCGGATCTTGCCGGCCAGGTCGGCCTGGTAGAAGTCGTACAGCTTGATCTGCTGCGCGTGCGAGTTGCCACCCGAGCTGACGTCGAGCAGGTCGACGCCGAGGTCGGGCAGCAGCTTGGCGAGGCGGATGCTCTCGTTCAGGTCCCAACTCGGCTGGCCCGCGTGCTCCATCCACTCGGTAGCCGAGACGCGCACAAAGAGCGGCATGGACTCGGGGATGGCGCCGCGGACCGCCTTGATCACATCCACAAGGAGCCGGGTGCGGTTCTCGAAGCTGCCACCATACTGGTCGGTCCGTTTCTGTGCACGTAAAGGGACTGTAAGCATATGTGCCCTTTCCAGTAGCCCCGAATGGGTAGGTGTCTAGATACTTACGTTGCTCAGAGGAGAAAGAAACTCGGTGATGAGATAGCCGTGCGCGCCATGGATCTCGATAACATCCATACCAGCCTCTACAGAGCGCTTGGCGGCGTCGGCAAAGCTCGTGACCAGGCCCTCGATCTGCTCGACCGTCATCTCCTTGGGGCTGGGGTACAGGGGCGAGAAGGGGATGGCGCTGGGGCCCCAGACGTTGTCGGGCCAGCCGCCCACCTCCTCGCCGGCGACCTCGGCGTTGCCGCGCGAGTAGTGCCAGGGGGCGCGCGTGCTGGCCTTGCGGCCGGCGTGGGCCAGCTGGATGCCGACCTTCTGGCCCTGCGAGTGGACAAAGTCGGCGATACGCCTCAGGGGCGCGACCTGGCTGTCCTGCCACAGGCCGCTGTCCTCGGGGCTGATGCGGCCGTTGGGCGTGACCGAGGTGGCCTCGACGACGGTGAGGGCGGCGCCGCGCATGGCGTACGAGCCCAGGTGCACCAGGTGATAATCGGTCAGGTGGCCGTCGTCGGCCGAGTACTGGCACATGGGCGAGACGGCGAACCGGTTGCTCAGCTCCAGGCCGCGGATGCGGAGCGGCGTGAAGAGCGTCGGCACGCTGCCGCCGCCTTCGGGGGCAGACAGTGCGGTGCCGGCTGGAGGCTCCTGGGCCGGGGTGTAGTAGGGGACGCCGGGCGCCGGAGGGCTGAGGGTCTTTTTGGAGGAGGTCATGATGTCGTTGCGGGGATGTTTGCAATGAGGAGATCTAGTAAGGATGTGGATGGCTGTGTTCACTTTCCACAGGACACTAGTTGGAGACTTGCGATGCCGATTGGCAATACTTCCCAATGATGGACTGTCGGGTTCTATATAAATGTGAACTGTTTGTATTGCAGGAGGACGATGTAACGATGTCTCGGCGACTTGATGACACCAAGTATTGCGGCAGGGGCATTACTAATAGCCGGGGCGCGCTACAAAAGTCCCCGATAATGCAACTTGGTACGGAGTGTTTATAAATCTAGATTCTAGATAGTCGTAGTTTAGCTTGTTGCGTCATGGCGAACAACTCGAATCTCAGCGAACGGTCATGAACTTTGGGGATATCAAAGCAATCCAGCAGCCAGCCGATTGATGCGATATTTTTAGCATGGGACGCCATTACCAAGGCAGTGCTCAATGTGAGGCGGCAAAGGGTTTCGCCGCCAGCGTGGAGAGACGGTCCCCCCGATGGAAGGCCGAGGAACCCTGGGCCGCCACGGAAAACATGCTGAGCGAGTCAGCACGACCGTCTGCTAGTTTCAATCAGCCGATGCAGTGATGGACTCAGAGGGTGGTGTGTAGTGACGTTTCTCAACACCCAATTCCAACCTTCGTACTCCCTACGAACAGCCACTACCTGTACCTACAAAAAACATTATTGCGTATTTCGCTGCCACTCGGAGACATTTTGACCCGAGATTGGGGCACTGGCCTACTCCGTACCTTATCTGCCTGTGGACCTGTGTGAATTGTCCCTCGTGCCTTGTGAGCCGCTCCCCTGGGAATGGTATGACCGACTGAGCCGGTCCAAGTCCGGATGAACCACGATTCTCGACCCCAGCAGCCTCGGGGGATCGTGTTTCTAGAATAGGTGCCCCGGTTTTCTTTCTGCTGGACGCCAAAGTCTAATCTCGCCTACTCCATCAAGCCCACTCCGCCAACGGCGTCGAGCCGTCACCGTCCGCTCATTGACGCGTCTAGCCTAGCGGAGCCGTTGGAAGGGAGGGATGGCACTGGACTTGGGCAACGGGGAAGATCGGAAAACCAGGCCCTAATAAGTCGCAATCTTTGATGGTTTTCCCGCTCCACGCCCGTGGTTTGTGGACAGCTTGGGAAGAGATAAGGTTGCCTGCCAAATAAGCTTGTCCTGAGCCCCTTCTTGCCTCCTTCCATGTCAGTGTCTCAACGCACCAGCGGACCCAGCTGGGGTTCTTGTGCATGACAGAAGGAGCAGTCATCTGAACAAATGTTTGGCAAGCTGAAATGCATGTTTGACCAATCTCCACCGTCGCCCCTCCATTGACCATTGACACAGATTGTGCTCCCGCGTCCCTGCTGCAATCATAAAATAAGAACAATGATCGACTCAGGGCCGTAGACCTCAAGAGGAGTCGGCTCGCCAGGCCCGCAAGTTTTGGATGGAGAGGGATGGCTGGGCGGCTCGTGAGGGGTAAGTAGATCGATACCTATCTCTGTGATGAACTCGAAACGAGGCTCCAGCACCCAGTAGCACGGGACGGAAGTGGAATCGAGTGACGGGCTATTGATGGAGGTGCCCACTATCGCCAGCGTCCCCGCGGCCGAGCGTACTTTAGCGACCTGAGGGTACCTATATGCGTGTGGCCTCCATAGCATCTACGGGTGGCTTGCTAGCCGTGACTGGGAGTCCGAGTGCATGCGGGCAGCGCGGCCCGGAAAGAGCATAGCTCATCGCGGCGGCGAGTCAAGGGGAGACGCTGAGGTGGGTGGTTGTGTCGTTGGTGTGACGGCCTTGAAGCGGCATCTTAGTCGATCGGCAGCGCCACGAGGAGCCAGCAGTTGGGATACGAGAACACCTGTTCGGGGGCGCGGGCAGAACCTGAAACATCACCAAGCTCTCACTGTGTTTGTGAGTGTGGGCGTGTCTCCTCTACCAACCGAGAGGCTGGGCAAACTGGACCTGGTCAATGCCGCGCGGAAAACTCCCTGGCAACTTACTAGCAGTCACCGGAGGGAGACGAGTAAAAAAAAAAGACATGCAACCGAGACGCCACTTAGGATCGAGCCTAGTCAAGCCGAATGGGGTCGTGATCCGCGGGGAGGGGCAGGCCCTGAACATCCATGAACCTGAAGATGAAGCCATGCTCTCGGCGAGCTTGACTGGCAGCAGCGTGCCTAGCACTGGCGCGGTGGATCACGGAATGGGCAGGCGGGAAGCAACGTTTTGGAGGCAACTGTGGCAAGCGTACCTAGCGAGCAGGACGACCAGTTGACGGGGTTTTGCGGGGAGGGCGAAGGAGGCACAAGCACAAGGTCGCAGCGAGTGTGATCAGGGGTTTGCAGCGCACAGATTCTGACGCAGCCGAGCTGGTGAGGCGGGGGCCGCTAGCTCCAGCTGCATGTCTCAGACCGTATTCACGATTCGACAGGGCACATGGCCGCGGGATCAGCTCGGGTTAGGGTTCCGGCCCCTCCGCGCTGGCTCCACGCCTTGTGTGCACGTGTGATGCTGGGCCTAGCCAGGGTCCATAGTAAATGCCCCTGCGCCCTGGCCCTGGCATCCCGCGGCGGGCTAGTCCTGATTTGGGCCCGATGCTCCGTTGGGAGGCCCGCTCGAGGACGGGATACGATCCCTGGCCCGCATGAAGGCGAAACAGGACGAGATGTAGTCGAGATGACCAGAGGAGACGCTTGGGCCAGGGCTGCCCGCCTGCCTAGAACCGGGGGGGCAGGCAGGGCCAGCCAGCCCGTGGCACATCGCGGGATGCACAATACCAGACCACACAAGTACATAACGCCTCCAGGCCGCCACCCCTCCTCCATGCCACGCCTAGTGCTCCCCCAAGCTCAGCCGGACTGGCTCCGTTCCATTCCAGAATTCTTCGTTTGACCTACGTGTTCCACCGCGAGAGCTGCGCTCCATCGATATCAGATATCCGACCGCCCTGTCCACTCCCTGTACCTAATCAGTCAGCCACAATGCCGCACCGCAGCACCAAGTCCGAGTCGTAAGTTTGCACCCGTCCCGGGCCAAGGGCCGATATCACAGGGTGTACATGTGGCTAACCACTCTCTTGCAGTGATGGCTTGTTGGGCAACGAGACGATACAGGTGCTGATCGGCCCTGGGAAGAAGGCCTTCACGGTCCACAAGAAGCTGCTCTGCTCCACGAGCGAGTTCTTCAGCGAGAGCATCGCCGCCATCCCCACCAGCCTGCTGCCATCCCCGCCCCGAGGCGCCCGCCAGCCGCCCCCGGCGGCGCGCCGCCCTGCAGCCAACCGCCGCAGCGGCTTCCACGACTGGACCCTCGCCGCAGCAGCAGCCGCCGCCGCTACCGCCTCGGCCACGGGCGAGCACGCGCGCTCGGCCTCGTGCAACAGCCTCCCGCCCCCGGCCCGCGCTTCCCCCTCGCCCCTGGCCTCGTCCACGCGCATGGCCGTGCTCTGGTTCTCGGACCAGACGCCCGAGATGTTCGAGCTGTTCGTGCTCTGGCTCTACCACCGCCGCGCCTTCGCCGCCCTCGTCGACGAGGCCGTCACGTCCATCCTGGCCGCCGAAGCCGAGAGCGGCGACTCGCGCACCGCCGAGGTCCGCCTGCGCGGCCTGCACTGGGCCCTCGTCAACCTGCACCTCTTCGCCGTCTCGGTCGGCCTGCCCGTGCTGCAGGACCTGGCCATGGACGCCGTCCAGGACCTCTACCTGCGCCTCGACTGGGACGTGTCCCCGCGCTTCGTGCGCTTCCTGTACGAGCGCGAGGCCGACGCCGCCCTCCGCCTGCGCAAGTGGGCCGTCGCCATGGCCGCGTGGTGCTTGGCCTCGTCGTCGTCAGGCAAGGGCGCCGACGCCGACGCCGACGCCGACGCCGACAGCACGGCCGCCCAGTTCCAGGTCCTGCTCGAGTCGTACCCCGAGTTCTGCCAGGACTACTCGACCCACCTGAGCAGGATGCACAGCAGCCGCACCAACCCCATCATCAAGAACCCGCAGCTGCGCATCCCGACAAACGCCCTGCGCAACGAGGAGCGCCACTTTGGCTTCCGCATGTGCTCCTTCCACAGCCACCGCGCCTCGGTCGGCCAGGGCAGGTGTCCGCACGACCGGAGCGGCAGCGTCGCCGCCGACAGCGATTGTGACCAATGGTCGCCGACTGCTTCCTCCTCATCCTCCTCAACCTCCTCGTCACCGTTCGGGCTCGAGCCGGACATGGACTCGCCCATGTCCGACTACAGCTTCGACAACATCGTGAGCCCCGTCTGCTCCCAGCGCGGCTTCGACCTGCCGCTGCCCTCGGAGTTGCTGCCGGCTTCGAAACCTCCCTCCAAGCCCTGCCAGCCGCCCGCGGCCTACGGCGACTTCCTCACCATGGACTGGAAACGGTCACACAACATGGGGATGCGACGAGTTACCGAGTAAAAAAAGAAGGCGTCTCCCGCCTACACGTCTTGTGGACTTCTGCAGTCATGTCATGATTTCTTTTGTTAGCCAAATGCTCCTCACGGACACACTTCAAACACTCACGCTCAAACGTGGATTTTCTATACATAGCTTTTTCTATTGTATTTAATGATACCCCCTATAGACGGTTACTCGAATGTCTTCAAAATGCAACTGTGATGACAGACACCGGCTTGCCCTGCCACCCTCGGATTCGGCGCGGCGTCGTGGATTCAATCCTTCCAACTTGACCGCAGTGCGTTTGCTGAGATGCTGGTCCCTCCAGATGCAAGAGGTACCCACAGAACAGGAACAAAGAAGTCGTGTCCCGGCCGGCCAATCGACGGTGGGATCGCCAAGTCTTTGCAATCTGTGTCGCCCGCAATGCTGACTGGCCATAACCTCTCTACCATGTGTGTGTGTGTGTGTGTGTGTGTGTGTGGTGGGTGTGTGCACGCGGCGGAGGCTCAAGGCTGGACACGCGAGGTGGAACAAAACAAGGCGTGCCTGCCATGTTTCGAGCATGTCTCATGGACGATAAACACCCGGAAAAACCCCGCACAACCAAAAAAAAAAAAAAAAAACACATGCGCCGCCTGCCCCCTGGGTGGTGGGACAAGACAGGGGGGTACTGGGTCTCGGTGACAGGGTTCAGCCAACAGAACCCCCCGGGCCGCCTAGTCCCAGGAGCACAGCACGACTTCGAGAAATTTTCGCATAGATTAACCTACGCCCACATCTCGGTCACAAAGTGGGACAGCTCGCCGGCGGCGGCCGGCAAGCCAGGCCAGGGAGCAGGAGAGAGGATAGAGAGGAGGGGTTCAGGACAAAACCCCGGGACCGCTTGTTTCAGAAAAGTAAACAAACAATAGGTGCCGACTGTTGGGTTTCCTTGCTGCGATCGACCAAGGAGCCGCCGCTCACCTTTCCCCGCCATCTCGTGTAATTGAAACACGCGGCTATCCATTCTATACAGCCCTCGTCAGGGATCCCTCCAAGAGAGCCGGTGAAGACTTTGTTTACAAACCGTCGCCGCCCTAGCCCAGGAGGTAGGCGCGCCCACCATAAGGGGATGGCAGGTTTACAGGTCCCGGAATTAAAACTGTTGATGGCATAGGTTTTCCTATTCCTATTGCCATTCCTGTTGTTATTCCTGTTGTTATTCCTGTTGTTATTCCTGTTGTTATTCCTGTTGTTATTCCTGTTGTTATTCCTGTTGTTATTCCTGTTGTTATCCCTGTTCCTATGCCATCTTTTGTGTGGTGGGCATGGCAGGCATCACAGCACACAAACCGTGGTCGGAAACGAAACAACGCTGCGTCTATTTATGTACTACTGGTGGAAAGCCAGGGCTTCCCGTTGCGGCTCCGTCTATTGTAGCATTTGCCCCTCGCACCTCTGGCAGGGGTTGGTAAACCCGCCCAACACCATGGCCGCACAAGGGTTGACAACCCTGCCTATATACCGAAGAAAAAAACCCCCATTGACTCGGGCATGGAGGGGAAGCGGTGGCAACACATCAATGGCCACACCAGCCAGCCAGCCCCCCGGTCGCGACTGTGCTCATGGGAACGAGCCGGGGAAATCCACCCCCATCATGGTGTCGTAAGGTTCGGCCGGCCCGGCCACCTCGCCATGTTGCTGTTGCTGCTGTTGTTGCTGCTGTTGTTGCTGCTGTTGCTGCTGCTGGGGCGTGAGCATCGAGTGGTGCGGGAGCTCCGACATGGCCATGGTGCCACCGGCCGCCGCCGAGGCCGAGGACCAGATCATGTCCGACTTGCCCGTCAGTATGACGTCCTCGACGTCGGCTGCCACCTCCATGAGCGCCGCGAGCATCATGTTCCTGTTGCCGCCGCCGTCCTGCCGGACGCCGCGCAGGCAGCCCACCATCATACTCAGGCCCGTGAACTCCTTGAACTGCAGCAGGGACCGGCACGCCCGCGAGCGTGCCACCGCGAGCGAGTGCCGTACGGCGGACGCCGCCGCGTCCGCCGACGCCGCGCCGTCCTGCGCGCACTCGTCAAAGTCGCCGCGCCGGAGCCCCACCACGACGTGCATGGCGGCCACGCCAAAGTCGTCGTGGCAAAGGTCCAGGAGCCACTGCCTCGACTCTCCCCCGCCCACCATGCCTGCGGGCCCGAACCTGGGGCTGCCCATGATCGACGGCGGGAGGCCCGGCGAGGATGCCGCCGACCCTGGACCGCCACCTCCTACTATGATGGTCGGCAGGGATAAGGTGTTGCCACTCGTCACGACGGGGGTTATCATGACGTCGGTGATCCAGTACTGCTGGATGCTCAGCAGCATCATCGCAGACTCGAGCGACAGTCCGAGCGATTGCTCGTGGCGCACTGGGTGCGGGTCCCTCGCCAGCGCGTGGTGCAACGACAGCAGCGTGCGGTGGACGAGGACGCGAAGGAACTGGTGCTGGACCGCCACCGTGCTCATGGGTTCTGGTCGCGCCATTCTCCTTGCCGAGCCTAAAACCACCTCGGCCTCCTTCAGCCGTTGCCGGATGCGCTTGTCCAGCCGCACGGCTCTATCGTTATCCATCACGCCTTGGCTGTTGTTGATGCTGCTGGCGCTCCCGCCAGCCCCGGTGGTGCCCGACCGCGAGGGCCCCGTTGTGGTTGGCGAATTCACAGTCGACATTACCTCGATGAGCAACGGGAGCATATCGGCCAGCTTGTTCTGGAAGACGCCGTCCGTATAGTCGTGCGTAGCCCATACGTTGTCGATGGCCCAGCCGCTCGACGGCGCCCCGGCGCCATGGGGACCCGAGGTAGCCATGGCCCCCACGGCGCTAGGGTCGGGGCGTATGTCGGAATCGTTGATGCTCAGAGGAGCCTCGGCGTCACCCTCGCTGCGTGTTGGGGTGGTGCCAGCCCACATGGCAACGTCGAGATCGAGGAGTTGAACGGTCGTCCAGATCCGTCGGCGCATCTCGGCTTCAAACTCTGGCATTCCGTAGAACAGGCTCGGGCTTTGGTGCAGCTGCAGAGACATGGCGAGCCGGACCACAAGAGCCATAAGGGACGCGACCTGTCGTGGGTCAGTCCCCCTGAGCCCCATCATCTTGCAGGTAGCCATCATGCACATGGTTCGGATCGTAGTTAGACTTGGCATCAACATGAAGGGGGAGCGGCAGAGCGAAGTCTGAGCTCCATCCAGCAACACATCCGTCCACTGAGTGGCCGTGTTGCCGGTTGTGTCAAACAGCTCCTCGGGCGCCGACTGACACCCCAAAGCCATCATGGTGCACAGCTGCGCCAGCCAGCCGTCTAGGACGCTTTCGCGGTCCGCCCAGAACTCTTCAAGCTCCTGCTGGAATTGCGCCGGGTGCAACATTCGATGCGTCTTCTCGAACGTCATCATGTAGTTGCGAAGCAGCACATCCGCAATGGCCCGAGGTGGTAAGCTGTTGAGAATGTCGTGTTTGTTGGGTACGTAGGGGCTGCTGTTGCCGAAGGGGAAGTTCGCCCCGGCCAGGGACGGGAAAAGGTATTTGAGATTCTTGATCTGCCGAAACCGAGGCTCCCATTCCGGTTCCGAACTAAAGATGTATGGACATGCTTCCTCAAACTAGCCAACGACAAGAGTCCGGTTAGATTAGCATACAACCCACTACCGTGGTATTGTCGTCTGATATGGAGAAGCCGTCCGAAGCAACTTGTCCCGCGGCTGTCTCCATACAGGAGCAATGTCGAGAAACATAAGAGAAAGGCTTCTAAGCGAATTGCTAAGGGCAGGGCCATGAACAAGCGCGCAGATAACGTACCTCGGCACAGACCGATGTCCAATGGGATGCGCCCGCGGCTCGACACCTACCATCGCTGGGACGGTAATTGTAAAGATAGCGATCTCGCGTGCGCACCTGCGAGGAGGCCCGCGAAGAGTTGGGTGGTTCTGACGAAGGCTCCGACCGGCCAGCTGCCGCGGCGGAGGAGGATGGTGATGATGAGTTGGTAGAAGGCAAGGGCTGGTACACGCAGTCATCGATGGCGCCATACGCCACACACCTGCCGCAGGGCAGGCCTTTGTCGCACTGCATGAGCACACTGTTAGCCCTCCAAGAATCCCTATGATACTTGCTCAGTAAAAAGGGGGCGGTGGCCGACCTTCAGTTTCCGCTTGTGGCAGGGTATGCAGACGAAAACGCGTCGGTTTCGCTTCTGCGACCTGGAGCCGCTCGAGCCGCTGGCGCCATCTGCACTACCGCTCTTGGGGTCAACGATGGAGAAGGTCGAGAAGAAACCAGCCGGGGGCGAGTCGGACTCCATGTCGCTTGTAATTGAGCCCTTGGTGCTGGAGGCCGAACTGGCATATGCGTACGAGGGCTCGCGGCGGTAGTTATAAAAGGCAGCGGATGGCATGTCTCGGATGGAAGTAAAGGGTGGGTGGCACAATCCCACTCCCCCTTATTGGCTATCCAAGTATGCTTCCGTTTGGGCAATAGTGCCAGGACGCTATGCAGTCAGGAGTCCTAGCTCGACAGCGGGCAGGGAGCGTCGGCACGCCTTCTTATGTAAACCGCCTTCTGTGATCATAGTGTCGACTTGATCGACCCTCAATGAGCGAGCTGGAGGCTTGCCTGCAGCATCTTCGGTTCCGCCCCACCATGCACCGGAAGCAGGGGAGAGGGGTGTATGTGGGTGTAGGTATGTATGGGTGGGTGTAGGCCTTGCATGCTTCGCACACACCCGGGACCCGATAGCGCGCGCGCATATATTCAATGTGTAAGGAGCCTGTAGGAGAATTTTCCGTGTGCCATGGCGTCCGTCCAGCGCTAGGTGTCGGCCCACCCATCTAACTGGGCAAAATCTTTGAGGCGTGGATTATGAATGGCGATGGGAGGGGTTCGACTAGAGGATGAGGGGAAGAAAGAACCATACTGCCCAATAGGGAGCCACTCCACCGCGGACGACGTCCCCCACTAGGTGAGAGCCCCGATTGCGGTTGGGCATTCAACTGCGCGGCTGTGCAGCTCTGGTCGCAAAGGCAGAAGGATCAGCTTCCATAGGGCGATGCCTGGCTTGACACCTCTCCTGGAACTGGTTGGTGTCCGCACCCACCCACCCCAGGATACGTGAGCAAGGGTCGCCAGCAGCCCTGTCGGATTGATTATGTCACCGGCGGACTTGAGGCGACGCCGTTGTTTCGAGGTACACGTAGCATGATGCGGATAAGCTCAGCCTGCGTTCACCACTTGGTGTTTGTGGCAATATGGAGGGATGTAGCACGGAGATCACAAGATCGCCATCCAGAGTAGGTAGGGGAGGTCTAGGAACATGCTCTGAGGCACTGCCCTCAAAAAGGGTCAGAAGTACTTGCGGGGGCCCTAAAGCTATTCACGGATCCATCGATAATGTGAGGTAAGAAAGGTGAGTTCGAATATCACATTGGGGGCACGGCCTGACCTGGCCACAACAGGATATACCGCCAGGTAGAGCAGTGAGGGTGGTTCGGACGAAGCTATCGAGTGGGGGCCAAGCGAGGGGCAGGGAAGGCTTGGCTAGGGCCAGAGCGGGTTGAACAAGGTGTCCGACAGAGATGGGATGGTGTGGGGGAGTGGCAGAACACAGCAAAGCGGAACAAACTGAAAGCCGAGGGCGCATACCTGGGCGCCTCCCTAGGACTTGGATCCCTGGATGGTTGGTAGGGGAATGGAGCCTTCAGGACTGCGGGCCGCTGTCACTCACGCACCCCTGGGAGCAAGCCCAAAGCGGACTTGGTGGCCGAAATATGTCTCCTAGTCTCGTGATCCTTCTCTATGGTCTCTCCCCGGAGATCGGGCCGGGGAGGAGAACAGAGTACCCAAGCATGGCATGGCCTGGGGAGAAGTTAAACAGGGAGGTAGATACCCACCTAGGTGGGTGGATAGACCGAAATGCCTTGCATCTCGCCACCGCCGGGGCTTTCCATTGGCCCTGGGAGGTTCGTGCGACAATCTCTTGTCTCCTGACTTCTTCCAGAGCCGGCACTTTTGTCAGGGAAGCGGGCGCGGTCGTGCCGAGCCATCAGCCATCGGATCAGCCTGGCATGTATGTAGCACACAAATGACCCTGGAACATGAGGGGCCGCAGTCCGAGCAAGCCAGTAGCGGCTCGCTCGCATGTAGGTAGCCAGCGGGTGGATAGATACCTAGACAGGTAGCGGGCGATATGGATCGTGTCGTCTAGTCTTGAAGCCCAGTCCTGATTTTTTGGGCGTTGTCGTTGAATTTGGGACGTTTCGCTGCGCACAGCCGCCGCCTGCCTGTGGTTGTGCAAGGATACGTTTGTGGGGTTCCAAATGATTAGCTGGACTGCGCCCCACCCGAGCTGCAGGAAGGTGCACATCCCTCCCGCTCTTTCTACTGGGAAACCCCCAAACCGCCTGGTACATTCCCGCCCTTTCCTAGTCGGAGGACGACTTTTCGAAAGTCGCTCGCCCCGTGGCTGCATTAGCGGCTCGGCGGGCAAGCATATGTCGCCTTGGCCCCTGGGCCCTAGGTTGCGAAAGGGTGTGGTGCCGCCCGCTCCATGGGTCTACCTCCGTCCCCATGGTCTCTTCTTCCGCTCCATCCTCTCTCTCCACACACTGCGTGGCTGCGTGAGTGACAATCCTTCCCACATGTAAAGAACAGCCCACTACCAGCTCCTGGGACAGTGATGCGCAGCCACCTTGCACAGCGCGCTACCGGGCAGTTGACCTTGCTACGTGTATTTACCTCCTACTTGCTGCCCCGCATGCCGAGCAGGGCAAAATCAATAGTCCTAACCGAGCTTGGCACTGTGACGAACACACCGAACATCAAGTATCAGTCCCGGCCAGACAGTTGCTGGACAGTTCAGTCAAGCTGCTTGTCCCAGGCGCATCTAGCCGATGAAAGTCTGACGACATCCAAACGGCCCCATCTGGACCTCAGCCACGGCTGACAGGGTCGTGATTGTTTGCCAAATTGGTCGTCGTGCTGCCTAGCCCCGTATTGCCATCGAAATCCGCGTATTTGCCGTAAAGCTCGGCGACGGTCAAAATTAGAGGCACTGGCCAAGCGCAAAACACGAATGAAAGTGGGTGGCGGCTTGAGGCTTGCAGGTGTGTAACCCAAGACGGGCGACTCTACCCCACTGAGGCTGCGGCAAAGGAGCCAAATTGTTCAGCCACCACAGCTGAGGAGGCTGAGGATGAGGGAATGACGGGCGGCGGCACGCTGCATTTCCCGTCACGGCTCCTCTGCCGCAGTCAAACCGAGGGTGGTGTGACTATAGGTAGGTGGTAGGTAGGTACTTACCTATATCCCCAATCATCCAATTGATACCAGTTTCTTCTCTATGCAAGGGTTAATTGCTCCTACCGAGGCTCTTGATCTCGATCCTCCGCGGGGAGGGATTCTAATACCCAACGGTCGGTCCTGTGGGTCAAATCCAAAAATAACCTGCCCCTGGAAAAGCCTGCCGGGCCACATGCGCTCTTGATTGTAGGATTGGCCAGGACTCGGGCGAGAAATCTCGAACTCGGCATGACCGGGCCGGCTTGTCTAGCCTGCCACATCTATCCCCGTGGCCATCGGCAACGATCCCAGTCACGTGCAGGGACTACCGCCGGGCTGCACGAGGTCCTGGGAATCCCGCCACCAAGCCCAAGGCTGACAGCTACGTAGAGGTGGTCAGCCTTTGCGCGCGCCTAGCGTCTCGAAGCCTCGACCGCTCAGTATTGGATGACAGCTCGATATCTTGGCCGATCGCGGAAGTTGCCCTATCGTGTTGCTCCATCCACGGCTCACGCGACTGGCCAAGAGAATCTTGCCTCTCACGTCTCACATCCATCTCGTAAGCAGACTAGCCCGGCCCAGTAGCGCAGACGCGGATCTAGACTTACAGCGTTGCAACAAACCAACTGCGAAGATTTCGAGTCCTCCGACTAGAACACGCTCCATCCATCGCACCTACCTAAGTCGCCTTGCTGGATTGGTGCCCCCAAGATTCGGCGGATTCGTTGAAAGCAGCCCCGTTACCAGACGGCAACCGAGGTTGGAAAGGGCCGGAGTTTGCGAACCAATACATGAATCTTTACACCCATTTGCAGGCGCATTACGAGAAATACGAACATGAACGATTGATCCTTCCCCAAAATCCCCAGGGATCATAGGGCTCACAGCTCCTACCCAGGGAGTATGCTCAGGGGTCAGGAACAAGACGACACTAGACCCCATTATGTCCTAGTCGACTCCCGATGGGTACTTCCGAATCGCGCCGCCCTGACATGAAAATGGAGGAGACCTTGTCTCCTCCATGACCTACTGCGATATCGGCACACTGCGAGAACCTCTTCCAGGTCTCTTTTTTCTGCTGGCAACAGTCGCCGGCCCGCGATATCAGATGCTTGTGCCCCTTGTTAGGATCTTATCCGCGGCCATGAATACATGCACATACAGACGCCAGGGTGTCAGCGCAAAGGGAGGGAGCGGAGCGGTTATCGGGCGACTGTGAAGGGTTCAATGTCATTTCGCACCGTCACACAGCCCTGTTGTTGATGCTACCGTTCCAGAGCCAGCGTCTATCCGGACTAGGGCGGTACTTTGGCCGCCTTATCTCCTTTCGGGACTTTAACGGCGAGCGAGTCTGCATTCCACGCGAAGGAACATCGTGGCTGGACATGCTCTCCCTGCCACTGACTGCAGATGGCAGAAATAGATGCATGAGCAAGGAAGCCTTCCTATCCACGATGGTGATGCCGATGGGTCGGGCGAAGTTTGAGCCCCTGAGAGGCCAACTCGCCAAAATCTTGTGAGCACAATGCTGTCTGGCTCCGTCGCACATGTCTGCATACCACAAGATGGCCATGTGGCTAGCAGCCAGTGACGACAAGGTGGTGCAAACTTCAGGTCTTCGAGGGCCGGTGAGTGGTTGACAAACGGAGAATAGAGACCAGACTTTCAACGACTCGGGGCATCACGGCAAGCCGGTACCGTGGCCAGTCGCGATGGCCTCCACTGGGTCATACTAGCGCCTCTTGGCAGGCCACCAACATCGCGGTGTACAGAGACCTGGCAACACCATGCGCCCTCCAAGTCACTACCAGATAGCAAAGCCGGGCTCACATGGACGATACGAAACGGAGATTCATGCACATGTACATGGTGGGGGACGAGCCCGAGTGTTCTTGCCGAGTTCCTTGATCGATTCGAGCTGCCAAGTGTTCGATTTCAGAAGCGTCGGTCATGGCAGCGGGTTGCCACCAGTCACTTCAAACCACATCGACTCACGCAAAAAAAAAAAAAAAAAAAAAAGCCATTCTGCACTAGCGCCTCTGAAAAGGCCGCGGTGAACATATGCGGAAGAAAAGGGGCAATTGCCAAGGGCCGATGGTGTGGCCCACCCTCTCTCGGGTCGGCCCAGGCTAGGACAGCGCTGCAACTTTGGGAGCTGAAACAGTCCGGTGGCCGTCTATTCCTATTGGTCCGTGTCAAGCCCGGCGTTGGGACGACGGCATTTACGCGGATCAGCGAGACGGACACGCACTGGCACGGACGGCAGTTGGGCGTCGGCTAGAGGTAGGGAGTATGGAGATATCTAGCTCGGCGCCCAGGTATAAAATGGGTTGATCGCTCAGTATCTCCCAATATCACCGTACTCAAGAGAATCAGAGACGGGAAAAGAAAAAAAAGCAGGCAGCATCGCATCGTGTGCTCGTGGAGTGGCTGTTGGCCCAATGGTTGATGCTATTCAGTCCGTCACCATTGCTTCGGGTGGGGCGTGACCAATTGATATCTGTTGTCACTTCCAGCCTGTGGAGCCACTGACAGTGAAGCACATGCTCTGGTCGAGGTGGCCAAACCAAACAGCCACAACTGAGTGAATGATGCGCGAGACAGGTCACAGGAGATGGGTAGTAAAAGTCAGTCCGGGATGTGGCAGAAGCTTCACGTCCGAGAACCTGCTAGTAGGTGCACAGAAACGGAGATGGCACTGCCGGTTGTGTATTTATCCAGCCAGCAGCGTTCAGTGCCAGCTGAAAAATCTCTCTCCTCCATCTTGCTCTCCGTCTTTCTCGATCTGGCCTTCTTTTCTTCTCTGCCCCTTTCTAATTACCAGCTGTCAATCGCCGCGCGCTCCGGTCCCGTCTCTGGTGGCCCATGCCCGCTGGCTCCATAATTCTGCTCACTTTCTGCAACCTCACTGGACAATCTACTGGGGCCTCTTTTGGGAGAGGAGCGACCGTTGTTCTGTGTTCCTGAAGCCACCTGTTTATTTCAACACCAGGCTGCCAAGTAGCTCTCCTGACGTCTAAATTCCATTGCAACAACCACCCTTTTTCCGTGCGTGGAACCCAGCTCAGCCCGACATACCCGTCTCACTCTCGTCATCAACCCATCGCTCTGCGCCGCTTGCCGTCTGCCACCAACCGCTTCCTTGCCCGCAAACGAGGCCCAGACCAGAACTCACCCGGCTCGTCTCGCCCAGCAAATCACCAGCCACATGCATCTCGCCTGAACTCGCCTGAACTCGGCCATCATTCGCTCGACCTGTCTGCCTGCCCATCTGCCTTTCCGGGTGCCTGCCTATAGATAGCTTTTCTCTAGGCTTCAACCGCTTCACCACCTCGTCCAGCCTTGCCTCGGTGGAGCACAGCCGGCTGCACTCTGACCACCACACATTGATCTCTCTGAGATTCCGCCTCGACCTCCCCCACGGCTGACCCGCTTCTGGCATCTCGCCTATCCGCCGCCAATCACCATGGGTGCCTCCATGTCGACCGCGGTGGGATGGGCCGTTGTGATCTCTATCGCCGGCTTCTTCGCCTACAGGGAATGGGACAAGAACCAACGACGCCTGGCGCATCGGAACCCCGGTCAGAAGCCGCGGGACGACCAGCGGAATGCCAACCAGGGAAGAAGGGACATCAAGGAAAAGGAGCACACCAAGCCTAAACGCCAGCGTGTGCCCGAGACCCCTGCCGCCGCTCCTGCTGCCACCCAACCCAAGGCAAGCAAGGAGGCGTATGCCGCCGCCGCCAAGCAAGAGCAGCCCAAGGCCACCCAGCCCAAGGCCGGTTCCCAGAAGACGGCCTCCCAGAAAGCCAACCAGAAGAAGTCGGCCGTCAGCCACAGCTCCGACGACGACGAGGCCAACAACCGCGAGTTTGCTAAGCAGCTTGCCAGCGTCAAGCAGGGCACTAAGTTTTCCGCAAAGTCCAAGGACGACGTCAGGCAGAAGTCGGTCAAGCAGTCCCGTGCCGAGGAGGCCCCGAAAAAGGCCGCCGCCCTCGCCCCCGCCCCCGAGGAGCCCAAGGTTTCGGCGCCGTCGTCGACCGCCGGCATCGACGCTGACGACGACCAGTCTTCGGCCGCATCGCCCGTCGTCTCGGCGGTCAACGCGGCAGGCGATGTCTCGGATATGCTGGAGAAGCCGGCGCCCGGCCCCTCGGTTCTGCGCCTGACCGACACAGAGGAGAAGAACAAGAAGTCATACACTCCCAAGCCCGCGGCGCCGGTCGAGACGAAGAAGCAGCGCCAGAACAGGAAGAAGGCCGAGGCTGCCAAGGCGGCCCGTGAAGAGGCCGAGGCCGACCGCAAGGTCCGCCTCGAGGCGCAGCGCAAGACGGTGCGCCTGGCCGAGGGCCGTGCCGCTCAGGACGGCTCCGGCTTCATGGCTGCCAAGGCTCAGGGCAACGCCTGGACTGGCAGCAACAAGCCCAACGGTGACTCCAACGGTCACCTTCCTGTCCAGCCCCTGGACACCTTTGACGCCGAGAAGCCGACCGAGGCCCCCGCCCCGGCGGCGGTGAAGGCGCAGAAGCAGGCCGCCGCTCCGGGCGAGACTTGGATTGAGGCTCTGCCCTCGGAGGAGGAGCAGATCAAGATGTTGCGCGAGGAGGAGTCGTGGAGCACCGTCAAGACCAAGGCTCGCAAGAACAAGAAGAAGGCGGATGAGGACAGCACGGCTGAGAGCAACGACGAGGCCGCGCCACAGAAGAAGGCCGAGGCTGCCACCCCCGCCGCATCGGCGACGCCGGTGGCCATGGCCAAGCCCGTAGCGGCCAAGGAAAACCAACGCCCCAAGACATTCTCTCAGAACTCTTCCTTTGCCGCCCTCAACGCCGATGGCGCTGCGGATCTGGCCGAGGAGGAGGAGTGGGATGTCTGAGTGCCGCACAACGCTGGGCCCACGAGTTCTTCCTCGCCTTCGCCCTCTTTGCCCTGGCCTTGTCCGTTACCGAGACGAGGCTGGTTGTGGCTGTCTCTGAATAAGAAGCGGCGCATATTGGGTAGCCACCCAACGTCGGGGAATTTCCAGCTCTGGAAACCGAGTTACCCGACTCCTTCATCTTTCGTCTTTCTCAAGCGACGCGCAACCATACGAGTTTGGGCCAGGCATGAGTGAACATGACTGCCCTGTCTTTCCTCAATTCCTAAACCGCCAGTTGTGCTGCTATAGATTCCCCTAGGCGCGGCCGCTTTTGCGTTTCTTTTCATTCGAACGGCCTGGCTCTCACTCCTGTTAAAAATCTACACAAATTTTCTCGTCGGATTGGCGCTGTGGAATCAAGGCACAAGGGATGACCGCCCTTTCAGAATCCGCTGTATGTAAAACTAGGTAACTCTTTGTTTCTGCTACATGCCACGACATATGGGCATTTTCGAGGGGCAAAGGGGGACGGATGGGTGCAACAAAAAGAAAATGAGGGGTCATGGTAAGGATTTTGTTTACGACTCTGCTGCAAACATGGGGAAACGGGGCGGTCTTTCCTTTATGTCACTCTCCTGTCTTTTCCTGCCACTGTTCTGAATCTCCCGTTTCTTGATCCCGCTCTACTTCGGTCTTGTCCTTAGTCATCCACTGTTCGTAATCAGCCAACACATCCTGAATGAAATGGAAATGCCCACCAGATAAGGGAGAGTGGTGTCGGTGCTGCCAGCCCAATGGTTTTCTCTTTTACAGATCGCGGTGAGGCTCAAACTTGAATGTTGGTAGATCTGCGGATGCATGACATTACGACTGGGCAGCTACCAACCCATGCTCCGGACTCGACGAGACACCCGGCTGTTGTGTATGGGCTCTAATGAGGAATTGAAGCCTCTAAGTGGTGGCCATTTGTCGTTGCTGTGCTGCACATTTCGGAATTATTCCCGCAAGACACGAGAAGGACGACGGAGGAAAAAGACAGTGAGAAGGGGATCAGGACGAGGCAAGTAATGGAAAAGGTTAGTCAGAGACTTGCATGAACTCAAGAAAGGACCCGAGC